ACATCCACTTTTGAAGCCATAAAAGCTTAAGAACATTCGACGAAATATGTCATTTTTCTATACTTGTCATGTCGCATAACTACCAGGCTTCGCCTCCATCACACGGTTTACATATGACGGTAACTGGTTGTATACCTCCTTTTGTGAACCATGTATGTCTTTGATGGTCGTTTCTTTCCCTCACCAAGCCTTGCAATAGGGTATTTCTGGCCCATAATCTTGAGACAAATCATTCATGATTTCTTTAGCCTTGTAATATGTAGTGCCACTTAATTTATCTTTGATTAATGATGCAATAAATTTTTGTGATGCTCTTCTCTGTACATCATTGCTTGTCCCAATATTATATGATCGTTCTTTTTTCTATGTTTTGATGCTAAAAACATTCGTCATGTCAAACTTCGAAGCATATGTCTTCTATTTGTATCCATTACCCTTGCATTTCGCCCTTATGCGATACGCCTTATTTTTAACAAGACGGTAAATGGTATGTGTGCTATAGCAAACTTGCTAAGGTTTTTTCGGAAGTCATCTAGAGATTCAAATTGTTGGCCTATACCGGTAAGTGCATCATCCCATGAACTAAGCAACCATGGTGCATTTCTTTGTTCGGAACCAGAGACAAAAACATTAGAGGATTGAAGGGGTCTGACCTCTTTGATTGCCCTAATATTACGTGAGGTACTTCCACCCCTTTGTTCACTCCCATCAAATACATAAACCAAGAGATTATTCTCGCCTTCATGGGCATTCAACATCCTCTCAATATCATCGCCAATGAATAGATTTACAATAAATCTTTTATTTATCGAGACAAAATACCTCGATGATATCAAGTATATGTCTAGCGAGAAACGCTCTGCTGCGTATTTTCATAGGTTATCTAACCTAGTTCTACTTTCAATCATAAATGTACATGCATCACCACCAATATAATCCAAAGTCCCATTGACATTTGATTGGAGTTCTCTACCAAAAATACAATAAATCAATCTTCTATCATTCATTTTCTTTTGTCCTACACAAGATTTGTAACAATTTACATTCCACAAAATTTTATATAGTTCAATTTCTTATTTTGTACAATTACCCCTAACGAAAATCAATTATGCCTAAACCACATAATTTGCACCAATAGCCAACTCTTATTTTGTCTAGTTCTCAGTGACAATTTTATATAGCACCAACGTAAATCAATTATGCCTAAACCACAAAATTGTAGTTCAAGACAAAAGTCACAATTACCCATAGTTATCAAATGTTAAATTGCACCACCACCACGAATGAAATACCAATATTCCTACCATAGTTTTATAGAATGAGAAAACCCAAAACATAAAAATCCTCCCAAAAATTAAACCCACAGGGAATGTTTTTAAGAATGAAATTATATTCTTTCCAAACTATTTGCTAAGAATGAAATTATATTATTTCACAACTAAATTTTAACAAGAGAAAGACGATGACTCATCAAATAAGAAACAATCGATGCAAACAAAACCTAAAGAAAACAATACGACAAAACGAACTCAAAATTTATTATCACCAAGTACATTTAAGCCCTAAAAATGACAATAAAGAAACAAATGACAAACTCCATAAAAATTTAATAAGAAAAACTTCAATAAATCTTAATCCATGAGCAATCAATCCCTTCATTGTCAATGATAGATCAAATATAACAAAATTCGACGAACAATGACCCAACAACAGATTTGAGTGATTTTCTTAAATAAATATATTATATTTTTTATGAAAAATAAATAAAAAAATCTATCATACCTTTGATGGGGCTGAAAGATTAGCTAAAAATCAAGCTCGGGCTTCTGGGGTTTGGGCTCGGGTCGTGCTATCTTTCGTAAAGAGAGAGGGAAGACCTCGGGCCTTCACAAAGATAAAATGGTTTTTGGGCCGAAGAGAGAGCATGGGAGGAGGAGGGAGCTCAGGCCGGAGGGAGCTTGGGCTAGAGAGAGAGCGACAGAGAGGGAGGGAGCTCGGGCCGGAGAGACAACGACAGAGAGGGAGGGAGTAAAAAGACACAGGTGTGGGTAAAGTTCGATAAAAAAAAGGGAATAGGGAGAGACGCATGGGTAAACAAAACTTGGGAGCTAGTTTAATCTCTTTTTTTTTGGTTGGGGGGGTTATTTGCATAGAAAGGTGGATTTGGGGAAAAAAGTGGATGAAAGGTTGGCTGGGGGGGTAAGTTGCGTAAATAGTACATTTTGGGTTTTTTTTTTGTAATTTTCCCTTATCTTTATCTTTTTTGTTACTGTAATTTTTGTTGTAGTCTCTTTAACTTCTAATAATATTCGTTACTCTTGTCAAAAAACAAAAAAAAAAACCGATGTTAAATCCTTGTGTTATGTTATGTGAATGTTATTGCATTTTCATTCTATATTCTTGTTTTGATTCCATATTGTTTTTATTGTTGGTTCATTCTATAGTTGTTAATGTGATACACCCATGCTGTATTTTCTCCACCATCGACCACAACAACTAGTATCAATGCTTAGGGTTTGTTATTCATTTTATTTGTGGGGAAAGGGTTTTTATTATTGTTCTTATTTGCTGTATTTTTCCTAAAATGAAAAAAGCAGCTGTAAATGGGCTTTGTTCTTTCCTGAGCATGATGATGAGAACATATCCTATGCCTCTTTCGGTGTCTTTACGTTCCTAATATGGCCCATCAACTCCATATGGATTGAGCTTTTAGCATGTATAGTGGCCTTGTTTGCTCGAATCTGTCATATCTACAACGGCCCCAACATTCGCAACATCTGTTATCGATACAACAATATCTTGCCATTCATCATCTCTCAAAGATCTTACCCTTATGGTTTGATTTTATGAAAAATCACTAATTCATAATTCCCAAACTTCTTGATACCAACCATCATGCTTACGTTTTCTTCCATGTCCATTGTGTTTCCTTTGATTTAGATGAATCTCAGTCCTCGAATTTTAACTAGGTCTCAACTGAAATGATAGAGTCACTCAAAGGGAAATGTCCTTCAAGTTGAATCTTAAACCACAAATATGCGAAGAAGTCTCAATTGAATTAAAAGATTCGCTCGAAGGTGAATCTTCCTTCGAGTCTAATTTTCAAGCCCGATTCTTGCCGGAATCACATTGCTTTTATGTTCTGAATTGTTTCGCTGGATGATTGGTCACTTGAGAGTTTCGAGAGAGATGAAGAACGAAAAAGAAAAACATCCACATTGGGATTTTAGTGTGTTCGCACCCCAGTCCGATGATGCCAAAATTGGACGGACTGGGCACTACCTTAAAACTCGGGGCACAGTCCTATTTCGAAAAGCGTTTTTTTAAAAAGTGATCGGATGATGGCATCTTCGGATTGAGAAGTAATTTTGTAAAAAATAAAAAATGTGGGTTAATCGATCTTACCGGATAAATTTCACCCAAAATCGATCGATTTTATATTTTATGTAATTATTTTGTGTCCATATGTAAATTGCTCTAAACCCAATAAGAATGTGTATTAAAATAGAGGTCTTGTCTTGTTTATATTATGGAAATATATACAATTAGACTACTAAACTTTTTATACAAATGAGTTATGGGCATTATTGACAGCTGGATGTGAAATTGAGCGATTGAGGATGTGTCATAGATTGGGCACAAAGTTCAAAATAAATTTTTTTAACGTTGTGATAAACTTCAATTTATTGGATTTCACATCCAATAGCTAAAATAATTGTGACCTCCTTCTATCAAAAGTTTTGGTGCCCTCTTACTAGATTAGTCCCATATTTAAGAAGGTGTGAGAGTTATTAAGTGGTAAGGCAATATAAATGTGACTCGCTCTAGGCAAGCCATACTAATCGAGACTCACATTAACAATCACTATTAATGAGATTAGTAAGCAGAAATGAAAATTGTAAAAATAAAAAAACATAAAAAAAATATGGTTACCTAGTCCCGCACAAAACCGGCTGGTTTTGTTCCCTAACATAACCAACTGGTTGCCGGCACTGTCAAGAAACCAGGATGGTCCCCAATGATTACTGCGTTAGATTGGTCAATTTCGATCCGATTCGACTTGGTGGTTTCTTAAACCTTGCCACATACAATTTTTTTTTTTGGAATATCCCATCACATCCAAAGTTTGCAAATAGGACTTATTTCCAGGCAATGGGCCTTGACTTGGCCTGAGCAATTAGTCGGGGCCTCTCTGACCAGAGTGGCTAGTAGATCCTGAGAGCAATTGGCTGGGCTAATCTTGACCTCAGTAGACCCTAAGAAGTTAGAGTCTGGGTCATTTAATGTGGCCCTGTCTTGAGCAGACCTTGAGATCAATTGGCCGAGCCGGCCTCGACCAATTAAACCCTTAGCAATTAGAGTCTAGTCCACAAAATGTGGCTTGAAGGCTAGCCTGTGCCAGGGCCAATGGGGTTGGCTTGGCCCAACCATTTATTTGGCCTTATATTTTTTTTTTTCCTTTTTCTGTCTTGGGTTTATTAACCTATCCGACCCAAACAAGGCTTGGCTTGGCCAGGGCCTGGCGAGGGCCTGGCCTCTTGAGCAAGTTGGGCCGGGCTTGGGCCTAATATACAGGGATCATGCCGGGCTAGCGTTGGAGCTGGCAAAACGCATTGCCAACCTTACTGAGCCAGCTCCAAGCCTCTATAGGGTTGACTCAGTTTGTGGTGGCCGAATAAATGAAAACTAAGAAGAGCATGAGGCGGGGCCGAGGCAAGGTAACCTAAGCCTAGCCCAACACTCCAAGTGTACCAAGCCCTAATATTTTAGGACCGGTAGACCGGGCCACGACGAAGCCACCCAGCCTTAACTTTATATTGTAACTTAACTCGAGCATTCTGGTAATCTTTCAATTATACGATGCGGTTATGGAAATCTCCTTTTCCAGAAATGTGCATACAGCATGTTATTTGCTTTTTAACTTTAACTATAAAAAAAATGAATACCCTAATATCCACTTATCATGTAGCAATCTCTTATTATCAAATAGGGAACCGCTACACGATTTCTAATGAAATCTGAAATTTTAGATTCGAACTTTAGGCATTTGATAACCTTATCAAGACCCATATTAGATTAGGAGATAGCCGTTATTGCATTTCTTGCTTCTCTTTTTCTGTACAACATGGGTCTCTAAAGGCTTTTGATCCACACTACCCAGCACAAGAGAGAGATAAATATCCCATCAAAAAAGCAAAATAAAGTAGAGATTATGTTCAATCCCCCTTACTTTATTTCATCTTCTCTTTGCTTTTCCCTCTCTACTTTTGCCCTCTACTGGATTAAAGAGATATCTCCACATCATCTCTCTTTCTACTTCTTTAGTGGATTCCAAATCGCCGTTGAAACCTTTTTCAGAGGACCCAAGATCAGAACTACATGCAAAGAATATGTGCAGGTATCATACTATACATTCAGCATCATTCTGTTTCTCTCTTATCACCAACATCCCCGTTAATGGTCAGAGATCTAAGAGATGGAAAAAGGAGTGATGATGGTTAGTGAGAAGGGAACATGATTGGAATGAAGTCTCTAAATAATTTCCCTTCATAGATGGTCACCCTACTTAGCTTTTCCTCACACCATTTCAACTGCTCTGTACTAATTCTAGACATCCTTAGAACCCTGGAAATAACTTTCAAATCAATCAAACCCATCAAAATCTCCATTTCATTTGAGCTCTGGCGCCTTATTCTCCTCTTAATGCATTTCCTTCTCCTTGTAAGATCCTTCAACTTTCTCTTCTTCTGCAACCAGGAGATACCAACAAATATGAGAGAGAGAGAGAGGAAAGATTAGAGATGAAAGATTGGTTTGCTTCACCTTCTCCATATCTTTCTTCAAGGATTTGAGAAGGGTTGGATTTGTAGAGCTCTGATTCCTCTTAAAGATGATTCGAAGGATTTTACTCGACTTTCCCCTGTCAACTATGAGAAAATTCATAAATGTTACAATGGCTTCTTCAACTACCGCTACTGCTGGAGCGATCGAGACCGTGGAATCGGTACCTTCCTCTCTCTGATCAGCATCTGTATCGAAAGCAACCAAAAGCATAAATAGGGCTAAAATAAAAGGGAAACAATCTATATTGGTCTCTCTCTCTTTCCCAAAAGAAGATAACTTCAATAAATTGAAAAAGGTAAAACAGTAAAAAATGTTAATGCATTCTAATATTGATCGAGTAAGTACCTCTAAATTCAGGAACTTGAAGTAGTTTTGGGTTAAAACTCCTCATCCTGGCAAAAACTTCAGGTCTCTTTCCAAGTTCAAAAGGTTCATCCTCGATGAATCTCTGCAGCAGGACTTGAAATTGCTGAAACTGTTGGGAAATGTACCCATAATTAAGGACCTCACTTTCCCTCTCCTCTGTTTTTGAAGCCTTAATTTGCTGTAAATTCTTGTAGTTCCAATTAAGAGCTTCCCATGTCAAACATATTTGAGCTACATATGTGGCCTCCAGTTCTTGATATGTGTTCCTCTCCTTTTCTTTCAGAGGACTATTCTCATTTTTAATTTCTCTCATTTTGAATGATAATCTTTGAGAGATGGAACGTGGTAGCCCAACCTTAGCCGCCCGGAAAGACTCTAACAAGATTGGAAAGAAAGGAAAACACAGAGAAAATAATCCTTTTAACAGAGCTCCATGAGATCAATTAGAACTGGTGAAGGAACTCATAGGAGAAACAGAGAACTCTCTCTCTTTTTCTGAATATAATGCGACTGATAGAGATATGGGTTCTTCAATAATTTAAAACATACATTAATTTCTGCTTCTAAATGAAGAAAACCAGAAAGAACATGTAATCGCAGAACTTTTGGCACTTCCACAAATAATTTTCAGCAAAAGAAGGAAAAAAGGAGATAAAAACCAACAAAAACAATAACCCAGAAGAAAAATAAAGACGCCAAAATTAGAACTAAGATGGAAGGGAGCTTAAACAGTAGTGAAATGTCTATGTTGGTTTAGTTTGTCTCACCAGCTTCGTGTAGCTTCTGTGAGCTGATCCTATCGAGAAAAACCATTTTGTCATCGTATTTCTTATACATTGAATCAAATTCCCCCCTTCTAGCTGAAGAGCTTCGAAGAGATGAAGTTGAGCAGAGATCCTCTAGCTCTGAATCCCTGTAATTTGTTGAACTCCCCCATTCAAAAGAGCTCCCTGTAATTGTGTCCTCTCCGAAAGAATGCTTTGTTCCCACACAGCCATTATCTCTGTCTTCTACCCCTCCTCCACCATCATCTTCTTCTTTTTCTTCTTCTTCCTCATCTTCTTCTTCTTTCTCTCTCTGCAATTCTTCATGAGTTTCCTCCACATGAGGCTCTGTGATACCTTCCAATCCCTCTCGTCCATGATAACCTTTCTCTTTCTCTAAATCAAACTCTATATAACTGCTATTTCCGTTGACGGCTTGATCAGGTGAATCCTGATCTTTGTTACTTAGAGACTCGAATTCTACGGTTTCATCCAAGTTCTCACTAGACTTCTCTAAACCCACCTCCGAAACACTAGAAGAACACGTTGAGATCTGATCTTCTACGATGATTTCCTCTGCTTCCTCATATGTTCTGCCCAAAATCTCAATGTTCTCCGAGCACAACTCGAATTCTTCATTTTCTATACCAAAATCTTGGAGTTTAAGGGAGGTTTTACAGGGGAGGAAAACCAATGCTTTTCCACCAAGCGTAACATCTGCTATAAGATCTTCCCTCTCAAACCATTCTTCACTCGAATCCCTGCAACTCTCTTCTTTGGGGAGGCTTTCTTTCTCATGGGACCTGCAAAAATCCAAAAAATATTTACGTAAACACATTAAATTTCCTTGTTTCATTCAAAATTAAAGAAAATAAGTATGAATAAGGGAAAGGACTTGAGTTTTCAGACCTTTGAGAGGTTGGTTCTCTTCCAATGAATATGTAATGGAAGAGCTTGAAGAGTAGAATTGAGGAGTGAAGAAATAGGGCAACATGGAAGAAGCCCAGCAGCTCAAACATCATCATCATGTTTGCAGTGGCAGTTGAGTTCCCATTTGCAAGAGATTTTGTTCCACTGGTTATGAGACTAGAGACACAAAATCTGAGCAAAAGCTCTATATGCATAGATATGCAGGAGACAATGACCAAAATGCCCTTCTATAATTTTATCCAAAATCACCTACAAAGCCGTTCACTATAGCAAATGACCACTAAAGACATCATTTAATTTCTTTTGGGAACCTCTTCAAATTATAATTAATAGGTTTAACTGTATACAACGCCGAGGTGCATGACATACGTCACCTGCATTATCCCCCTTTTTACTCTGCTTCCCCGGCTCCAATTGCTAAAAACAATATGGGCGTGTGTGCAAAAATTAGCCCTTAAAGGTAACTCGAGGAGGCAATCCAACAGTCCTAGCATCCTTATATCTTAATCACTACGTTGTAGTTTTTATTTCCACTAACACTATTTTATTAATATTTTTAAAAAATTAACTCTTAAACTATATGAAAAAACAAGTAGGGGTTTTCTCCCCCACTGAATTACCAATAAAAAAAAAGAAAAAATATGCAGTAAATCAAACGGCCTAGAGCTCTATGTGAAGAGGAAATTTGGTTATGTTTATGTAGATTTATTTAAAAGGAAATTTATATAACGAGATTGTATACTTTCCATACAAGGTAGCCGCGATCATTATTGAGCATTAAAATGTGCATGTTTTTATAATTATCAATCTCTTATTTATGGATACAATTTGGTCTTTGCACTTATTTAGAGGGGCATATTTGTCATCACAGGAAGTTTTGGGTAATTCGTAACTGTCCACTTACTTGGAGGTAAAGGCCATATCTGACGAGGAAGATTGTGGGCCCACGTGCCTATATGCTCTCCTACAGTCGTTACACGATTAAGAGGCATTCAGGCATCTTAATCCATGTTCATTAAAGTGCAAAAGAGGCATACTAATCTTCAAAATAATCATATATTATTCCCTCTCAAAAAGGTAGAACCGCATTTATTTCTTAATACATAAAGGGTGTCGTTTTTATAAGGTTGCAACCTTAAACAATTCAATTAAGGCGCCCTTCAAATTTTATTATAACATATAATTTTTGTATAAAATATTCTTAGGACTATCTTAAAATCTATTTTTATGTCTAATTATAAAATTTAAAACTTTAAAAATGGTTAAAATCAAATAGATCTAAAAACATATGAAAATCTTGAAAATGAACGGTCTAGATAATGTGTTGTAAGTTGCACTATTTTTGGGACTAAAAATCTTTTTTTTTCTTTTTTTCATATTCATACATGTCAATGTCAAGATGAACAATTAGAGGGTTTTTCAACATTAAAACAACATTTTCTGATGGATTTTTGATACGCATATGTAATTCTACATTTTAAGGTTACAACCTTATATAAATTTTTTCTATACATAAATCTCAAACGTAAAGGGTTCCAAACGGAATGACAATATTTATTGTCACTTAAAAAATAATTTCTTTTCTACATGGTTCAACCAAAAAGAAAAAAAAAGAGAAAAAAAAAACGAAAAAATAGAAAAAGAGTGAGTTATCTAAGAAGTGCCTCCTTATACTGGAGAAGTGAGGCGTACATGCTTAGAGATATTGTCCTAGTGTTAGAAACCGTTTAAAAATCTATTGTTATTTTTTATTATAAAATTTAAAATTTCAAAAATAACAAAGATCGAGCAAATTAATAAATATTTAATTTTTTTTAAAATAGACGGTCTATATAACTTTATTACAAAATGTATTATTTTTTTGAGCTTGAAACTCTTTTTTTTTTTCCACATTCATACATCTTGGGGTAAAAATGATCAATTTGAGGATGGTCCATACTGAAACACTCTTCTGTAGGATTTTTGAGATATAGTATAGTTGCAATTTTAATAAATTCCTCCTTTAAAAAAAAAAAAAAAGAAAAAAGTTTCCCTTCCACATTGGTGGTTTAGGATGGTAGAGCCCCACGCTTTCCTTTAATTTAGTGACACTAACACCATACAAACTAAAGGAAGCTCGTTATTTTAATAATTGTTAATATTTTCTTATTTTAATAAAAAATATATAAAAATTCATATATATTTTATTAAGGGAATATACCTATCCAATGTGTGTATGCGTACGTATCAGTATATAAATTGTGACAAACATTCTAAAATCTTAAAATAGAATGATTCTTGGCTGATTAACATGGCAAAGAACAACTCGCATCTCTTCGGTTTTTTAGGGAAAATTATAGTGTATATCGTCGTCATGTGAACCGGATTAGTCTAAGCTGACTGGAGCGGACTAAACTTTTTCTTGACCAGCCTCATGTTCAACTGGCGCAGATTAGTTTTATCATTATCAGAACGATGTTTGAACCGACACAACGACTCGTCTAATTAAAATCAGTTCAACTGACGGTCCGACTGGTCAGGCCCTACATAATTAAAAGTCTGATCTTATATATATAAGAAAAATCTTAAAAATATCATGAGGCGAAAATAAATAGTGTTTCGCCTCGCAATAGCTCTTGTAGAGCGGTTGCGGTTTTTCTTGAAAAGTCACAAGCGGTTTCCCATATTTTGCGCATGAAAATTGGCTGCACTGGACATGTTATGTCATTGCAGTCGATTTATCCACACTGTCCGAGAAAATAGGATAGTGCCGAGCCTATAGGCAAAAACACTGTTTATTTTTGTCTATAGGCGTTGTATAGTGACTTCTACACATACACATATAGGAAAATGTTGAGATTAACCTATTATCTCATATGAACATACGAGCCCAACGGTCCAGATTGAATCTGAGCCAATCTAGGTCAATCTGATTGTCACGACCTCATTTCGTGTTTAAATTTTAATTTTTTTTACAAATCCAAATAATTTGAATTTTAGTCGTGTATTATTAAAAAATAGGATAATCTAATAAAAATAATTTGTAAGAAATAAATTAACTAAAATACCATTGAAAGGTTTTGAGGGTATTTTAGTCAATTTATTTTTTACGAATTATTTTTTAAATATTTTATTAGGTACGCTCTGATGAGAAGAATGGACACTTAAAATTTCAACTGATTTAAAATTGTAAAAAAATATTAAAATTGAAATATGAAATGAGGTCGTGACCGTCAGATCGACCCAGATTCAATATGAGCTGTTGGGCTCATATGTGCATATGAGCTAATGGACCAATCTAAACATTATATATATATATATATATATATATATATATAG